TGAGATAAAATTTAAATAAAAAGTCCAAATTATATAATAAAAAGTTTATTTTGACATAAGAAATCAAATGAAGATAAATAAACACAGATAAATGTTCCTCTAATGGGGTCAATGTTCTGTAATAAGGACTGAAGGACTGTTAGACGTTTGACTCGTCTCATATTTTTGACTTCTCTTCATTTATTTTGACTTTTATTCCATCGTTTTGACCTTTCTGAGCCTTTCTGGACTCTTCTTTTATATTTTTATCTTTTTCCAAGTTTCCACAGAAGAAATAAACTAAAGCGAGATGAACTGAAATCAAACCGTCTGTCCTGAAGCTCCTTCAAAATAAAAGCCTGACGGACTGAACTGCTTCCACTTAAAAGGGACGAACGCAGAGTTTCTTTATGTTTTCTGTCTAATTATTGAACATGTTGATCTCTGTACAGCTCTGGGAAAAACGAGATTTGTTTTCTGTAATTATGAACAGACGAATAGCTTTTCTTTTCTCTTCTTTTCTTTTCTCTTCTTTTCTTTTCTCTTCTTTTCTCGTCTTTTCTCTTCTTCTCTTTTCTTTTCTTTTCTTTTCTTTTCTTTTCTCTTTTCTTTTCTTTTCTCGTCTTTTCTCTTCTTCTCTCTCCACCTCGGTCCTCTTCCTCTTCCCGTTCTGTCGGAGACGCATCCAGCCGCTGCTACGCCGACTCTCTGTTTTTGTACCTGCAGCGAGAGTTGGACTTTCTATTAAAACAATAAAACCAATAATCAGCTGATGCGGCTCCGCTGTGGTCATTACAGTTAACCGGATTAGTTTCTGCTGAGTGTGTTGTTTTTCTTATCAGATTTAAATAAAGGTGACTGAATGGGAGCCTGAAGCGTTGACAGTGTGTCACCAGATAATGTATGACTTCAGGTAGAGTGGCTCCAGACGTCCTGATGAGACGTTCTCATCAGTCCTGGAGTTCATCAGAAGATCTGAGGGTTTCTGCATCTTGTCTTCACAGCTTTTATTTTGTTCCTCTTGAACCTTCTCAACAAGAGGCACAACCTGGAGCGTTGACAGTCTGATGGAGGGAACGAATCAGTGAGCAGCAGTAAAGACCGATCAGCTGGTTTCAACCTGGAAGTGATTCTACGTTTTGAAGGTTCACAAACATTCAGACACGTCAGATTCTGCAGACTAGAGGCAGGGATTGAACTGTTTTTCATCGTTTCACATCTTTCTGTGGTTGTTTTGTGACACGTTTTAGTCGTTTTTTTAAATCTTTCTGTGGTTCTGAGTCACAGTTTGGTTGTTCTCCGTCTTTTCTGTCACGTTTTGGTCAATTTAAATGTTTTTGAGTTACTTTAGGTCCTAATTTGGGTTTTTTTTGCATCTTTTTGTGGTTGTTTTACGTCTCGTTTAGTAGTTTTACATATTTTTGTGTTTGTCTTTAGTCACATTTTTGTCAATTTGCATATTTCAGGGTTACTTTGGGTCCTGTTTGGGTTTTTTTTTTTGCCTCGTTTGTGGTTGTTTTGCGTCACAATCTGGTTATTTTACATATTTGTTTGTTTGTCTTGTGTCAACTTGCATGTTTCTGGGTTACCTTGGGTCACATTTGGTCTTTTTAAATCTATTTGTGGTTGTTTTGCGTCTCATTTGGTAGGTTTGCATATTTTTTGGTTTGTCTCGTTACCTCGGGTCACATTTGGTCTTTTTAAGTCTTTTTGTGGTCGTTTTTCTTCTTGTAGTTGTTGTTTTGGTCTCATTTCAGTGGTTTTATGTCTCTTGTTGTGCTTCATGTCGGTTGTCGACATCGTTTTACGTCTTTTGTTTCGGTTGGTTCACATCTTTCTGTGGTTGGTTCACATCTTTCTGTGGTTGGTTCACATCTTCTGGTGGTCGTTTGCGTCTAATCGTGGTTGTTTCATCAGTCAGTGGACGTCCTATCAGATGTCCAGCAGAGAACGAGGAGCACCTGAAACTTTTCTCTGGAGGCTGAATCCCAGTTAGAGACCAGTGGCAGTAACGGACGGCTGAATGCAATATTCCTGATTTAAACCAGAGTTTTGGGATAATTTTACCATTTGTTGGTCAGATTTCTTCGTCTGCAGCTGCTTTTGTCCTGCATTAACCTGAGCAGAGGTCTGTCAGTGACGGCGTAACATGATGGAAGAAGGCTGGAGGAGAGTTTTAACGTGAGGACGCCTCGACTGAGAGACGCTGATCAACAGGAGAAGACTCAGAGGTCTGTGAATTTACACCTAAATCAGAGGAAACGTCTCGTTTTTTGGGTGATTTTCAGTCACCTGCTCTCCAGCTTTGAGTTTTCATCTTTTATTTCCCTTTTTAAGCCCCAAAAACCTGACATGAGTCGGTAAACTACAGGCTACAGAAACGTTTAAAACACGTTTTGTTTAACTGGAGGAGCTTTAAGGCGCTTTATCCTCCTGTTGAGTAGATTTCTATCGTCTTGGAAGCGTTTTTTTTTGCAAAACTCCAAATATTAAATGTCGTCCAGATACAAGCAGCTGTACAGACGCCTCTGAATAAATACAATAAAACGGTTCAAACTCAGATTGAAATCCTGAATCCAACGTGAACTGATGAGATAAAACACAGAACGAGGCGCTGAAGCTTAGTGGCGTTTCCCTTTAATGGATAAAGTTGCAGAGACAAACCGACACAACAAAGAATAAAAAACCAGAAACGAACACGGCAAACGTTTCACCCAGACACTCATTAAAAACAAAACATGAAAACCGACCGAAGGTTCCTAAAAACAGAAGAAAAAACCGTTTGTGCACCAAACTCGGTGATGTTTTGGTGTTTTTTAGCACCGTTGACTCGTTTCATCCTCGACAAATAAAAACATTTATCCATGAAGGAGTTTGAAATGAAACGTTTCAGTTGTTTTCAGCTCGTGAAGCTCGGCTGCACACGTTTGGCTTCTTTGACTTCAGTGAAACTTCTGCTTTCAACAAAAAACAAACTGTGACACAACCTGTGGGTCGGGGCCCCTAAGAGGGTCCGAGATGAATCTGAAGGGGTCATGTGATGATTAAGGATTAACGATAGGTGCACTTTTCTCGACTTTTTCTTTAAATATTGGACATTTTCGCCTCCTCGAACCTCAAAATAATCCCTCAGGGGGTTGAACTTTACACGGCAGTCATGATTAGCAGTAAATATGATTTAAGGAAACACTGTTTATTCATCTTTCAGTTCTTTACTGCAGTGAACTGACTTTTAAAATGTTAAATTAACACTGATTGAAACAACTCCTCTAAACTTTTGGCTTTTTACTTCATAAATGAGGATTTTAAAAAACGATAATTTGGTTTAATACTTTTCTAAATTGAACATTTCATCATGTTTTGGGTTTTTTTTTCATCCCAAACCAAAAGTTTACACATCAGGAAACCAGTGAAGGTCAGTTTAGGAGCTGGTCTGGAGCTTCAGCAGCAGATTTTCAACTCGTTAAAAGTCAAAAATCTGAACTTTAAATAATATTCGGCTCAAAATGAGACTGAGGTTTGTTTTTGTCGACTACTTATGACAAGAGTTCATCTAAAAGCAGGAGTTCAGAGCTGGAAACCGTCGACAGAAACACCTTCTGTTAGTGTCTAAACTCAACTCATTGTGTAACAGAACATGTACTCGTCTGTTTTTTAGTCCAACGTCTGTTTCTCTGAATCTGTTCTGACGTCTGACATCTTTAAAATCTTTACATTTATGAGCCAAGCTGTTTAAAAAAAAAAAACACCCTCAGACAAAAACTGTGGAAAGAAAAACGTGAAATGAAACCAACCCCCTTCAGCAGATTCACCATTAATCATGTTTTCTTCTGAACCTCTGTGAAGCCAAACATTCATTGAATCGTGACAATAATCCGTCTGCTGCTGACTTCACAGCACATTAGTGTTACTCACTGCCACAGAAATACCTTAAAAACTGCACTTTGATTTGAGAAGTATTCTGCAAAGAGCAAATGATTAGTGGATAAAAACCTAAAGACCTGAACCTGGCTCTGCTGTTTGAACCACCGGTGAAGCATTCAGTCTGTTTTTGAATCAAACACACACAGAGGAGGTGATGGGACGAATCCTACACAGTCTACTCGGGTAGCGACGACGTATTCGGTCAGAACGGACTTTTGTTTTCCTAGAATGAGACGTGTTCTGGCGTCCGTAGAGAACGTGAAGGTGGCGTCACGCTGAGCTGCATGCTGGGAAAGTGTGTGAATGTTATCCTAAAAAAAAAAAAAAAAAAGGCCAAAATAACAATTTTTTAGCAAATCAGAAACAACGAATTGTTGGATTTTCGTCCGTCAATTAAAACAACCAAATTTAAAGCGTAAAATTCACTTAAAAAGTCAGAAAATAAACCGTTTGCTTGAACCAGATTCAGTAAAAAACTAAAAATTCAGTTTTTCCAGCATTTTTTAAACCTGTGGGCGCTTTGAAAAATATTGTTCTTGTTGATTTTAGTTTATTATTTGTAAAATAAATAATCAAAGAAATTCAACTTTTTTGTTTTTTTTACAATTCATTGCACAAGTTGATTCCAGCTTTTGAAATTTTTGTAAAATAATTAATAAAATTGTAATTTAGATTAGATTAGATATAACTTCATTGATCCCTTTGGTAGGTACCTCAGGGAAATTGTAATTTGCAGCTTGTTAAGAGACACCAGAGTAATTAAATATCTTTAGTGTTTTTGTTCCAGTGATGTCAACAGGAACGCTGTACATGTTGATTCCAGTTGTTTGTGTTTTCTTCTGAGTTCATCCTCCTTCTAGTCACAGTTGTTCTGTTCCCCTGAAGGTTCAGGACTTTATTTTGATATATTTATAGTGATAAAAACCCACAACTCTTTATCCAAATTAAACAAGAAGTAAAGAGTGACAGAGCCTCCTCTAACGCAGCGTGATGCACCTTCACCTTCTCTGTTCTGCAGCCAGTTTATCAGAAAATCTGAAAATAAAAAGGGACGATTGTTGAGAAAAAGCTCTCTACTGGTCACAGACTAAAACGGTTTCTGTCCAACATTCAGTTCAGATGCATAAAGTCGGACCTGAGTCCGACACGAGGAGTCACTGAGCTGCTGCCGCTTCAGTCTGAGAACCACAAACAGCTCAGAAGTCAGAGTCGTCTGTGGCTGAGTTATCGGCGGCGGCGAGGAGCCCCGGTGGCGGCGGCGGCGGCGGGTCGTGTCCGGCCGCCTGCTGCTGCTGCTGCTGGTCCCTCTTCTTCTTCTTGTTGTGGTTCTTGATGTGCACGCTCAGACCCCTCTCAGTCATTTCGTAGATCTGACACTTGGCGCAGTAGTACGGCGACACGCCGACGTGCCGGAACTGGTCGGCGAGGTACGACGCGAGCGACTTGAAGCCCTTGTTGCAGATGTCGCAGCGCGGCACGACGCCCGGGTGCTCCTTCTGCAGGTGCTTCCTCAGGCCCCACTTGGAGCCGCGGTACGCCGCCTGGCTGTCGGCTGAGCACAGGTGGCAGGTGAAGACGGCGTCCTGGTTGGCGTGGCGCCTCGTGTGGGCGTCCAGCTCCACCTGCGTGCGGACCGACTGCTGGCAGGACGTGCAGAAGAACGTCTTCTTGCCCTCCATGCGGTGCATCTGCTTCAGGTGCACGGCCAGACCCGACGCCCTCTTGAAGGTCTTCCCGGGCGGCGGACACATGGTGCACACCAACTGTCTCTTCCCGGAGCCCGAGTTCATGACGTCGCTGTAATCCTCGCCGAGCTCCAGGACGCTCTTATTGCTCATCATCACCTCCTCGGCCTCCTCCTCCTCCTCCTCGGCCTCCTCCAGCTTCTTCGTCTGGACCGCCTCGTGCCTCGGCCTCGGCGGTCTGGGCGGTGGCAGCTCTGTGGCGTTCTCTTTGACCGCTGGGTGTTTGACGGCCGGCTTTTTGGCGGGGAGCGACCGGTCCACGGACATGGTGAACTGGTAGCTCTCTCCCTCCTCCTCGGGGTTGGAGTACTCGATGACGTAGACGCCGTCCTCCTCCTCCTCCAGCACCTCCTCCTCGGCGGGCAGCGAGTACTCCATCTCGTAGTACTCGGACACGTTGCTCCTCACCTTCCCGCTGAGGTGCGACTGCTCCTCGGCGATGTGCGTGTCGTCTATCCTCACCACGGTGATCTGGTCCATGCCGCCCGCTGCCTCCCAGGTTCCGTTTCCGGCCATGACCGAGGACGACGGCGCTTTTCCGGCTGCTCCACCTCGAACCAGCAGATATTCAGAAGACGTCTGAAACGAGAAAATAAACAGTTTCATGTTGTTGTTTTGTTTTGTTTTGTTTTTTTACAGATAAAGACATGAAAATATTCTTTAATGCTTTAATATTATTCCCCATTTGTGGCAAATCCTCACATCACCACAGTCTGGCTTTTAGCTTTTTAACCTCAAAATACAACAAAGATGATTCACTTTACCAAACTGTAAAAAAAATGAACAGAATTTTATGAGATTTCAAGGTTTTTTTTGGCTATTACAATAAGCAACAAGTAAAATCTCAGAAATAACGCATCGATTTACACCTTATATATAAAAAAGTCAAATAAGTTCCACATCAGATTTAGCATCAACGTCATGCATCCTGTGTGACGCAGGATTCAAACTGTGGGTCAAAAGTTTGTCAAACCAGAAGGATGACAAATATCTGTAGGTCACATTTTGATGACATCTCACGTGGCAACGCTCAGTCACATGTTTTAAATCTATCACACAATGAACAGGGAACTGAAACTTGACTCTAGAATATTTTATTGCAAGTGAAACTGGAATATCTGTCAAACAAACATCATTTACCCAAAGGTTCATGTTCCTGCTCATCGCTGTAAACAAACAGCAGACGGGTCCGTTCATGCTGACAGTGGAAACTAGTGTCTGTTTACAATCAAGCTCCACTAACGTCACCTAAATGTACATTTTTATAATTACTTTATTTGCCTAGTTTTTGATTTGCAATACATGTTTTTGTCTTAACTGCAGGTCCTATTATCTAATCAGTTATTTAAAGGCATTTTATTTATTCTGTTTTATTCTGTTATTCAATGTGCAGCTACTAGAAAGTTTCTTCAGCTCTCTCACCCCCTTATTATTATGAATGCTTTAGCACATATACAGGTGAACAATTAAGACAAATAAAGCCTTTATTAATCCCACAGAGGGGGAATTTGCATTGTTAAAGCAGAATAAATAGTGCAAACATTTAAGAAATGCACTATAAAAATAAACGTAAGTATGGATTATAGCAGTAACAGCATGGCACATATCAGTGGTATTACACACATTCTATGTTTTTAAAATAAACTGAATGTGTTTATTATATTATCTATGTTTCTTTTTTAATTATTTGTTTTGTTCTATTGTGCACGAATATGTAAAATTAAAAGTTTAAATGTCTATTTATTTACAAGAAAATGCCTAAAAAGCGTATTTACAGTGGACAACATGGTAACACGCCTCTTGTAACAAGACTTCCATTCAAAATATGCTGTTTTAAGAAGTAGCGACACATGAGCACCAACGCTTTTCTGTTTTTATTAAGTTGTTTTTAGATTCGTGAATTAACAGTCATGAGCTGTTTTTCGGCCGAGCTACTTTCTCTTTATCCGTTTAAATAAGCGCAGGGTCGGTGTCAACACTCACCAGGATCCTGCTGCCGAAGTCAGCCATCAGCCGAAAACACCACCGCGGCTAACGTTAGCTTAGCTCAGGTAGCTAACGTGCAAACAGAAGCGACTGTAAGTTCCAGCCGCAGATTTTTTTCCCACTTTGCACCAGTTGGCTATTTAACGATGGACGCGAAGAGCTGGAATGCGCACATTAATGTTAAAAAACAGACAGAAATGAAGCTGTATTTGATGCAGGAGGCTTGTTTCGTTCACTGAGCTGCTGAGTTACCTCCAAAATGTCTATTTTCTTCCAGGAATCATAAACGGAGCCGCAGCAGCGCGTCTGAGAGCCGCTGCGCCCCCTGCAGGCGAGGAGGAGCACACACAGCCACCGGGAGCAGGCTCGCATGTTGTCTTTATACTTTACAGTGATGATGTGACATTTGTTATTGATTTCACATTAAAAAAAAAAAAGACAAAATGCAAAATTGTCCAACTGACCACATTAGTTATGTTGAAATGGGTGGTTAAGTTCAAAGAGTTAAAGAAATTAACAAATGTAACTCAACCAAATTAAACTTGGTTACACAATATGTGATATCTATTAATTTTAATCAACTAATCCATCAGGTGTTGTTACAATACTGAGTTAAATATAAGTTACGTTTTGCTTTTCAATGACAAAAATAATGAGCTAGATAGAAAAAGATTAATACAATTAGAGGTTAAATTATATACAGAATCCATTGTCATTTTATATCTAGATATTCCTGCTTTTACAGCTGATTTTGAGTTTTTTATTTGTTGCTCAGCCGATAACGAACATGACCTTTGTCTCTGTAACAATCACCCTTTACAATAAAGCAATGAGGTTTTGAATGTCTTCTTCTGCGCATGCGCATACTGACGGGAGCCTGAGCGCTGACTAGCTAGCTTCTCGAACCGTTTGGTCAGTGTGGGTCTGAGCTTTTGCTGACTCCTGTGTACAGTTACCGTCTAACAGCTGTTTGTTTCTACCGAGCGGGATTAACGTAACCGAGGCGTGAAGGAATATGCCCAAAAATAAAGGTAAGACCCGGAGGAAGACGCCAGGATGTGTGTCGGTAATTGTCTTGGCGCTGGTCGAGCCCGCCGTGAAGACACACGCAGCGAAAACGTGACACCGACCGGCTAAAGCTAGTTAGCAGCGGGAATTAGAGTCATTTACAGAGCAGTCAGCGGTGTTTTGTGAACCGTAGTTACTGAATGTGAGATGGTCTGGGCTAATAATGACGTTAGGTTACGTCTTATTAAAGTTGTTTTACAGTCTGCCCCTGCTAACCAGCTAGCTAGCACTCTTACCTACTATTGTAATTACGTTGCTAGCTGACACAGCTAACTAGCTAGTTGCTAGCGAGTTAAACCCCACCCGGTCTGGCCCGTGACATCTCCTACGTAATTTCACCAAAATTCAACCCGGATAACGTCAGGGACCCTTCACCCGGGTAGTTAAACCCTTTCAAAGGTCTTGTTTGAACGTTCAAACAACGTCTTTTCTCTTCATTAAGCTAATTACCAAGGTAACGCCAAAAAAGCGCTAGCCGCTGTTCCTGCCAGCCCTTATCTTCGATAGGCAGAGTGGTTAACACTGGCGTTTATATTAATGTCATGTCGGTGGGCGCTTATCAGATTATTCCATTAAAAAAAAACACATTTTCATCTTGAAATCTGGCGCCCCTTCTGAACCCGTTGAACCCCGAGCGGTTTTTGCTCCTGTCACGTTTTTACTCGCTGTGGCCTCATTTTCACTGCACCATAGTAGACAGTAGTAGAACAGACAACAGTCATAAATGGCTTTTGTGCAGTCTAACAAAGTTGTAGTGCCACAAATGAGAAAAATGACTGTCTCACAAACTTATAAAATCCTGTAATCAGCACATACAACAAGTTTCCAAGTTCCCACAGGTGTTAGAAATACTGGAAAATAGTGCTTCTGTTTATTGCAGATATTTTACGAGTTACTTCACACAATCTGGACTAACTTCCAGTTTTTTTTACACTAATCTGGACACCACTGGAAGGACATTCACCATGCTGAATGTATCTCTGTAACAAGATGCTCCTCTCTATATCATCTTTGAGTCATGCTGCATCTATTTTATTAATCCTGTTTATTTTTGCTGTCTGTCTCTTGTTGTCTTCCCTTTGCTCTGTAAACACGCTCTGCAGTTCAAAGAAAAGTCACTGAATTTTTATCACAAGACTGTTGACCACAGATGAGTCACTAATGGCTTCATACTTTTGCCGAAGATGCCAGCAGTTTGTTTACGGCATTTTTTTTGAATGAGATGTGTATAATAAACTGATTTTGATGAAATGTCACAATTTTAAGATCATTTAAAAAAAATAAAAATCTTTCCTTCTGGACTGTGCGTCACATGTGATATGCTACAACATGAAAATCTAAAAACAACTTTTTTTGTTTGTACATTTTCCTTTAATAAATGGGGGGCTTTTGACATTTAAAAAAAACAACCATTTTGAAAGACAACAGGTTCTTTTTGGGGTTCAGATTCAGGCCTGGATGGGAATTCTGATCTGGGCTGGCCCAGATTGGAATTTGACTTGCTGGCCAAGATCAGAATCCCAATCCAGAATCGGGCCGGATTCTAATCTGGGCCTACTGATGATATCCTTAGTTTGTTTGCTACATGTTCTAAACGTTTTCCAAAATAAAAAGTTGAGCCTTATTACCAGAAATCGGCACAATGAGAAGTAAAAATCTAAATTAAATCTGATGAATGATGAATTGTAAACGTGTGACTAAAATGTGATTGGATAATGTTAATTGATTTTCTGTCTCTGCTCACAGGTAAGGGAGGTAAAAATCGGCGACGTGGAAAGAACGAGAATGAGTCCGAGAAGAGAGAGCTGGTGTTCAAAGAGGATGGACAGGGTGAGTACTGGTTCGGCTCACGTCTAGGTGTGGGTTGTAGTTAAATGCTTAAAGTTGATCCTTACTGATTACACAGTTAGGAGGAAATTCATCATCAGCTGGTGAAATTGGGTTGATAATTGATTAATCTTTGTCAAACAAAGACCTTTTTCACAGTTCTTTGTTCTCAAATGTAGAGAAAATGCTCCTTTTTAAACTGAAATTACACTAAATACAATAATTTTGAGTTTGGTTCTGTTGTAATACAACAACAAAACATTTTGGGATTAAGCCTTAAGAAGGAAAACAGAACTCGCAGATTTAATTGACAACCAAAAACTTGCACAGCAGCTCACGTCTGAAGTCATGTAATACCAGCAGGGATGTTCAAAGTGAAGGGTTTTTTTTGATACGCAGTGGAAATCGTAGGGAGACGCAGATATTAGCAGAGTTCAGAGCTTCGACTGCAGCGCTCAGCGCTGCCCAAATCCCTGTTATAATGGAAGTGAGCCCAGTGTGTGGAGGAGGCTTAGCAGGTTTAAGGAAGACCTTCCAGTGGTGAAGCCTCGGCTTACGCAATTCACACAGACTTTACTGCCTGTATTTGTTCAGTGCGTGGGTTATGAGTTTTATGATGTCTGCTGGAGCTTCTTAAAACATTTACACACTGTCACATTACGTGCTTATGTTTGGAATATCCACTGATAGTGTCACATTAAACTACTGATGAGCTGCATTTGTATATTTATATATATATATATTTTAAAAAGCACACACAGAAGAGTTGTTGGTCTAATCTTGCTTTACAGTCGCAAAGAAAACAGTCAGACAACAATAGTTCTGAAAAGGAAACGAACATTGATGCATTTCCTCAGTTGTACTCTTATAGGATGAGCAGCGACTGAATAATAATGTCAATAAATGTGAGGTTTATGCTGTTTTTGCTTGTTTTTGATGCAGCCAGCCAAATTAAAGTAGAACCTTCCTATTCAGACAGCAGGCCTTCTCCGTTTCCATCCCTCGGCTCTTTTTTTTTGGTTTCATCTTGTACTCATAAATGATATTTCCAGAGTCGACGTCAGAGAGACTGTACCTGTGACCATTAAATCAATACAAGTGCTGTTTTTATGGATATGATATTCTTGAACCTGCCTGACGGAGGTGGAGTCTGTTACCTCACTTATTAAATACTTGTTCCCCCTGAAGTTTAATATATGTAAAGTATTATATTTAATTAAAAAGTCACGTTTAGTTGTGGTGTTAGCAAAGGACACCATGAAACTGTGCAAACTTTGTATTTAATTCAGTGTTTTTGAAAACCACTCATTAAGCCTCTTCAACGCTCCGTCTTCTGTCCGACCTGTCGACAGGTTTGCTGCTGCCCTGAACTAACCGTCCTCTGCTCTGTTGCGTCTTTCAGAATACGCTCAGGTGATTAAAATGTTGGGTAACGGACGTCTGGAGGCCATGTGCTTTGATGGAACCAAGCGGCTTTGCCACATCAGAGGAAAACTCCGGAAAAAGGTAGGAACATCCCGAGCGTCCTCTCGCACTTTTCTCCCGGCCGCTCACACAGGAAACCTCCTGACGTGACGCTGCGTCAGCGTTTTCTTAGCGGCCGCCGTTGATGTGGCAGCGTGGACTCAATTGACCACGAGTGTGTGTGTGTGTGTGTGTGTCGGGGTCACAAAGGGCAGTGTGATGCTCTCTGGCTAATCTCTCTCTGCTTTGTGTTGTGTGTTTTTTTTTTCCTCCAGGTTTGGATTAATACGTCGGACATCATCCTGGTCGGCCTGAGAGATTACCAGGTGTGTTGGTCGCTCTCACATGACAAAGATCAGACCGTTAATGCTGCGCTGACCTTCACTCTGAGGCGCCGGACATTTCTGTAGCGTCCTCTCTGAATTAAAGCTGTATTTTGTCAGCTAATTCCTGATGACTTTATCCGTAATTTCCTTCAACAATAGCTTGTATTTAACAGTAAACAACTCATTATATTCCACTTTTAGATTTAAAACATAAGAAATTCTGTATTAGCAAAGTGAAAACTAGTATGATAACTGAGTTTCCTAGAAAGTCTTCCAGAAATAGAAAGCATAACACACTTAGCAGGTGATGTTTTATACCATAACGTTGGTTTTATTTGTTCATCACATCCGTTTGAAACCCAAAACTAAGGTACAAACTGCAGGCTGGAATTAAGGCTGCCTAAGAAATCAAATATTAATTTTGATTTCCCGCAATTTAGCTGCACCTCCTAAAGGCAAAGTATCAGTTTTATTTATAATTTGCCTTCAGGAGATGCAGATTTTTGTACATTAGCATGAATGAAGCAAAGCGTGGAAGTGAAAGCAGCAACAACACTCGGTGCCGAATTGTGTTGAATTTTCTTGGGAATATTCTTGTAATTCAAAGCTAAACACGAGACAAGTTTTAGAACGTTATGAGAGAAAAAGTCCAGGACCTGTAAATAAAGTGTCACAACAACAGAGCTATTTTTAATTCATTTAAATCAAAGTGGAGAACAACGCTGTGTGCTGCAGTTGTTGGAATCTAGTTTTTATCAGTTGGTCTCTTAAATCCGACCATTTCTGTCTGAAAGAAATGTGCTCACGTCGTTATACGATCATGTATTGATGATTGTAGCTCTATACTCCAACAGATGTGAATGTTGTTGGTGCAAAATGCAGCTTCAAGGCTTTTAACTGAAACAAACACTCGCTATTAAAGCTTTATGAATCTCTTACGAATTCAGTTGATTGACTATAAATCATAGTTTTGATCTACTTGGCTGCTCCAGATGAGTTGTTCAACCAGAAACCTCCTTTCAAGGTTCCTACATCTAGATTTGGTTGCTGTGACGGCACCTAAACTGTGGAATGAGTTTTTTAAACCAGTGTACACAGTTTAATATCTCCTGGAATATATTGAGTCGTAGTTTACTATCACAGTGTTTGTTTTTTTCATTTCTTTTGCTGTTTTTTCACCATCATTATTGTGGCATTTCACATTTATTAGGACATTAAATCAGCAGCTGTGGTGGTTTTTATTGTCATATCTCAGTTTTTGATCAATAACTTCACAACTACACATTTTAATCCTCATTCTTTTGCCCACACATACGAAAAAATCAGATTTTTCGGTGCAGTTATCTTCACCTCGGCTCACTATGTTTAGTGTCCAGATCAGTGAAACACTCAAACCTCACCTTCTGTTTCAGGACAACAAAGCCGATGTCATCCTCAAGTACAACGCAGACGAGGCTCGCAGCTTGAAAGCGTACGGAGAGCTGCCGGAGCACGGTGAGTTACGCCGACGCTCGTGTCGTGTCGACGCCACAGACAACGAACAACAAGGCCGCGGGTTTATTTATAGGACGTGGCACGAAGTCCAGCCGCCAACACAGATCAAGTAGACAGGAGAGACGGTGACAGACAAAAGGGAGAAGAAGTGCTTTGGTTTCAGGAATCTGTGGAATAACACATGCAGACTTTTACCACCAGAGGTCCTCATTTTCTACATTATCAGGACTTTCATTCCATCCTGTCCAATAGAAGTCTAACATGCAGTAATTAGCAGAGAGTTCATGAGAGTTTTACAGAAACTAAGGCTGCACACATCAGTCAAAAAGCCAAATAATTATGTAAAAATAATATAGTAAACCCATGATCTCGTGAGTCTTTTGCTTGGCTTTAAAAGAAAATGCACCTATCACTGATCGTTTAGATTTATTTCACACCTGAAGCTGCAAAGCTCATCCTCCAAGAAATGTCTGTGCAGCGTTTTGTTGACGTCTCCTTCAGCTAGTTCATGATCATCCAGTATGAACTCAGGCTGCACCAGTGGGTCAAAAGGCCATACAGTTGTGGAAGAATTAATATAATATAGTAAACGTGTGATCTCATGAGTCGACTGAAGGATTACATTCACAATTTAAGCTACAGACTTCCTCCTGAAAGAAAGTCCACACAGTAGAACTGCGTCTGTGTTGGTTTTGTAGAGCAGATGGTATCAGATGCTGGTTTAATGTGTATTTGCTCATACAGTAACAGCTGTCTGGCTTTATTTTCCAAAAAAACTAAAGATCCCAATTCAGAAATAAAAGTTAATCCAGGAATCTAATGTCAAGATATAAGTAAAGTCTTCATGGTGGATTCTGAGCCTGACGCCTCACATCCTGACAGTGTTGCGTCCTTCAGCACATAAACAGTCTGTGGCTGAGCGCAAACAGCGGCGTCGTGTCAGGATTCGTTTCTCCACCAACTCCCAGACGTGCAAACCCGACCTGTCATCGGTTTCAGCTGGTTGGCGACGTTAGACACCAATCGGCTGAAGCTGCTGCCTCAGAGCTTTCTGTCTGAGCTTCACTGAGACTCTGTCACGTCGGGGAAGAATGATTTGAGGGAACATTAGTTTCTGGTGGATCTTATTATTTGATTTGTAATGTCAAGCTGTGTGATGGATTTAAATCATGAGGAGGTGTGACTGTCACACAAGGAGGACGACTTGATTTATTAATTCTTATTAATTACACAGACAGAAAAACCACCTCGTGTACAATAATTAATGGGCTGTATGAACAGTGGAGCTGCAGCTAAGAGTAACTGTCGATTAATCTGTTTATTTTCTCGATTAATCGATCTGTTTGGTCTCTAAAATGTCTGAAAATGATGAAAAATTTCAGTCAGTGTTACTTAAAATCCAGCAGAGACGTCCTCAACCTAAAGATATTCAGCTGATTGTTGCAGAAGAGGAAGGAAACCAGAATATATTTATATTTAAGAAGCTACGATCAGAGAATTTAGACCCTTTTCCTTAAAAAAAAGACTCCTAGCAGGTGAATAATTTACTGTACCACTAATCAGTAATTGTTGCAGGTTTAATAAACAACCCCAGATGGTATCAATCAGCTCGAATCCGATCAAATTCACTTCCAGGATGAGTTTATTTTCGTACATCCTAAGTCACAGACCTCGTGATGTGCTGTCGTTGTTGTCAGATTGATGCTCGGGCCTAATTTCCGTTCACACCCATGCACACTGTGGATGAGGAGGTCACAGGAGCAGCTTGTTTATTTTCACTCCCAGCTGGTTTTATCAGCATGTGGAGAACAAGCACGGAAACGTTTGCGTGTGGATTTCTAATGTCGTTAAACTGCAGCGGTTTGCGGCGGTATAGTTGTGCAGCAGCAGTTGATGTGATTATTCTTTTCTCTGCTTCCTCCTCGCAGCCAAAATCAACGAGACAGACACCTTCGGGCCCGGAGACGACGACGAGATCCAGTTCGATGACATTGGCGACGATGATGAGGACATTGATGATGTAAGTTTGTTTTAATGGCGTCGTGTTTTGCTGGTTAGTTGGAGCGGCGCGACATCCAAGTAATCCAGAGCAAAGCAAAGCTACAAATACTAAATGCTGAAACACAAACAAAGACATAAATCGTTAACGTCTGATGAAACAATATGTAAACGATGCTCGCTCTGGGTTCTGTTTTGAAACGACTTGGTTCAGTTATTTAGTTAAAGATGAAGGAAAGTATTTAATCCATCAGTTATTGATCATTTTTTAAAAATGATTTTGCAACGACAAACCCAAAGTTAGTTGTTTTCAATCGATGAAATGTGAGATTTTCTTACTTTTCTTTGTCTAATGTGGTGGTTTAGTGAACTTTTTTTGTGTCTTGAACTGTTTTTATTTAGTTTAATAGAGACAAAACCGCTTTTTACAGTAAATGAATGAGGAATTGGTGAACAGAGCAAAACAAAATCACTCAGGTTGAACTGAGACAACTGCAAGTACAGTAAGAGAAGAAACTGTAAAACGTGGAAACAAATGAATATTAAGAATAATTTACTTCATAATGCTTCTCAAGATTGGGAGTTTGAATTAATTTGGACAATCCTGCAGGCGGGTTTTGTCCTCCAGTAAAGCCTGCCGGTACGAATCCACATTTTTCTTTGTAAATATGTTGTGTGACGTTAAACTGTTTGTAGGAGCAAAAAAAAGCCTCTAAAGACGCACTTATATTATAATGTGTCCATATTTTGTGACGCTTTATAAACTAAACAGTTATGAATTAGTATTTTATTTGTTTAGATTAATTTTTTTAGCATGTACAGGTAAGCAGATGAGTCTGTCGCCTTATTAAACAGAACTGTCTGCATCTTTCTGGTAGTTTTGACCCTTTGATGAACAAAAATGTCTTTTATACTTTAGTGAATAAACTCCCCAGTTGTCTTTGGCGCTGGCTAGTTTCCTTTTCTCACTGGGTCCAACCTCTTCTGTCAAAAATGTCTCTAAGCTGGAAAAATCTTGAAATTATTTGATAATATACACTTAGATTTTAGATATAGTCCACGATCTCCAGCAATGCCTTTAAATTTCCTGCTTGTCTAATCCGACGATCTAAAGAGTATTTTGGGATGCAGAACTATTTTTAAGAGCAAAAACAAGATGTAGTTTTAACATGAGTTAAAAGTAATGAAGCGATCTTTACATGTAGGTTTGTTTCTGACTTGATTGAAAGCCGGAGAAACGTCTTCAGACGATTTCCAAAACACACTAATGGTGTCTTCTTGTTTCCTTTCCAGATCTAAAGACCTGCTACTGGAGGGGGAAGGTGGGCTTTTACTAGAGATGCTCTGATTGGGATATTTTGAGCCGATACAGTGCACCGATAATAATTATTTTTATTAAGATCAGCCTATGCCAATCCAATACACTTTATTAATATACAGTATGTTTATTCCAGTTTGTTTACCATCAGTAGACGTCGTCTTTGTGGTTTGGAGAACTTCAAGTGCATTTCACATTCGCCATCAGTACTTTGAGTTATTGTTGAATGAATGGAAACGAGATGCTGCTTCAGAGAGACTGTCTGAGCTGCAGCCGGCTGCCTGGTGACCGACAGACGGTTTGCTTTTCCTGCCTTCATGCAGTCGGATTGGAGAACCAGAGTAGGCTGATCATCAGAACCGTAGTCAGGGTGAACATCTGCATCGCGGCTAGATTTTTACCTTTTTTGCTTCTAACATCAACAGAACGGCACGTTTGCCATGTCATCCATCGAGTCTTTCCTCCTCTTCCTCTTTTATTTTCCTTCTTTGTCCAAGACTCACTGTTTTGTGAAGGCCGACACCACGACTGCACAACATCTCACTCCAGCTGCGTCATCTTTTAAAAATGTATTTATATTAATTTCACGCTGTGGAATTTAGACACAAGTACAGAATCTCTGGATTCGCCAATAAAAAAAGATCAACCCTTTTCCTCCGTGGGCAGTCTGTATCTTTGTAGCCTGTAAGACAGTCTGAAAGCTGTTTAATAGCGACAGAAGGAAGGTGGGAACACTGAGTGTCTTTTAGGTTGTTCGTTTGTTCACGTCCTGTCCCGCTGACATGAACTATTTGCTCGTTTTGGATTGAACCACGGCCGAATGAAGGCGATCGTTCCCCCCACTCCTCCCCCGAATCAAAAGAAGAATCAAATGTATTTTTCTATTGTTTCCCTTATTTGTGTTTCTGTCTGTTTCCATGTTCTGTTTTGAACTCTTCGCTGCTCTCTCTGTGGCTTCAACACACAGTGAAGCTCGGCCCGGTCGGCCGCTCTGTCTCACGCCGGACCAGCGGTTCCCAAACCCCCTCCCTCCCCACCACCAGTAAAACCAGTGCAACCTCACAGCAGAGCCATCTGTCGTGTCCGAAACTCTAGAAACCCCCAGTAGAATGTATCCGTGTCCTTCCTCTGGAAACCCTCTGAGGGGGCCCAGCTCCTGTTTGGGAACCGCTGCTCCAGCTGCTCCTGTTGCTGTTGTTGCTGTAACTGAATTAATTAAAAAAAAAAAAAATGTACTATGATGTTTGAAGGCTGGGTTTCCAATAAAGATCTTAACTCCACTGACCCGCCATCGTGCTTTCTGTGCCGGTCTGCTGGTGGCGCCACGGAGCTGCAACAGCAACGTCTCCGGGCTGCGAGCGTCCGGGTCCACTGGGGACGACGGGCCTGTTCTGTCCTCACAGTGTGGACAAAACATCTGCAGGAGGCAAATGACCTGCTGATGTGACTCCCTCTGAGCCTGCCTTTGGTTTATGTAGTGTGCAGTAGGTTTTCAAACAAAGGCTGCATCTTTTAGTTCAGTTCTTCAGGCGTGTGTGGACCTGGAAAAGAAAGTTGTCTTAAATTCTAGAATTTCCTTTTAAAAATCTCTAACAATAAATAAAATCCAGCATCCAAAAGATTTTAAATTACAGTGCAGCCCTCGACGCTCCTGAAGATGCCAAATACATCAGTAGAATTTATTTAAAATTAAATGTGTGTGGCAAGAATATAGAAAGAGAAGAAGGCTGTGTTTAAGTGTGGCAGGGTAAAGATCTTTTCCTGATCATTTAAAGAGTTTGATGAAAACCTGGAGTTTCTTGACAATCCAGAAGCTATAATGTGTTACTAGATGTGTTGTACATACATTTAATAAAGCTTTATAGCTTATAAAGCTTCTGGAATCTGTGCCTTCAGCAGATCAGAAAGTGATATCGGTATTATTTTGGTCTGGACAATCATCTAGACCTGCAGGTTAAATGTTCTGTGTAGAATTTATCATTACATCAAGTGATAATCAACATGCCTGAACTTCATTTAGGTTTTAAAAAATTCAGTTTGTGAATGTGAGAAAATAGTGAAGCAGCTCATACGCACTCCCTGAAACCCGAGTTAATTGATTTTGTTGTCTGATCTTAAGGCAAAACCCAAACATGCTGAGTTAAGAAACCAGCAGACATTACAGTTATTTCTTCTTTATTTTGTGCTTGAAAAAATAATCAAAGAGGCCCACGTATGCTTTTCCAGGCATGTGGTGTTTGTTTTCATAGTAATAAAAGGCTGTAATTGCAGTTAAATGCTCGACTATCTGGTCTCCATGAGAGTAATAAAAAGCACATCTCAGCTTCATCTACGTCAGAACTCTGCTGTGTGGACTGAGAGCAGAAGGAGAACAAACAGTACGCTGATTTTACAGCCTCTGCACTGACAGCCTGTCTGCTTCAGAATTGATTTTATCATCCTTTTATTGCTTTATAAAGCTCTTAATGGTCCTACCTTTTTCTCATATTTGCCCTTTGACTATAAAGTCAGAGCAGAAACCCAGACTGAGGCGTCCTTTTATTATTATTATTAATATTCCCCCCGTCTCACCGTAGACCGACAGAGAATGTGTGTGCATTCATGTCATCTGATTTGCATCCAATATAAAACCATTTTTTCAGAACATGATGATGCAGAAAAAGATGCTTCGGGTAATTTAGAAGTGTTGTCATCGCATACAGTAGTTTTACAATGATGTCATTATTTACATCTGCAGCACATGTAGCAGAGAGCGTATCACAGCTGAGCAGGTGTTGGTGCAAACACTGTGTTTATGCTGAGCTGTGAGCTGGTTTGTGGAAATACGTTAGTGGAAACTTAATAAACATATAAAAAATATATATATAAATCAGTATCAGTTGGGCTCTGGGAAAAAAAAGAAAAGATTTTGGTGAATTAAAATCATTTACAGTAACTAAAATCATTGTAGGTAGAGAAAGATAATGGCATAAGCAAAAGCTAAATTGGCATCAGGTTTAAATTCTATATTAAGTTTTTTTGTCAGCGCTTCTTTCTTTGCTCCATATAATCTGAGCCACATTGATCCTGTAGCTTTCTTTCCCTGTTCAGCGGTGAAATATGTGGCTGTCACAGAACTGCCAGCATCAGCAGCCGGCTCCAGTAAATGATACGCCAAAGATATTCACAAAGAGAACGCCACAGCAGAAATAAATCTCATCACACCAAAGAACCTTCTTCTAGCCGACTTCAGAGTCTCCACATGTGTTCTGCTGAACTCTAGTCCAGATTTAATATGAGGTTCTTTCCCATAAAGCTTTAAATGGTGAACAACAGCTGTTTATGAACAGTCTCTCCATCTCAAGTGCTGAAGCTTGTAACTCCTTCAGAGGAGTCATAGGAGTCTTGGTGGCCTCCCTCACTAGTCTCCTTCTTGTACCTCCTTCAGAGGAGTCATAGGAGTCTTGGTGGCCTCCCTCACTAGTCCCTTTTCTGCTTGGTTGTTTTTGTTTTATTCTGTAGAGCAGTTTGTGTTGCATTCTGTTTGCATGAATGGTGCTACAGTCTAGATTTATTTGCACAGCAGCATTCATACAAAATATAATTGAATATTAACATTTTAATCTAATATAAACACAATTAAAAAGCGTGCAGGGGGACAAGTAGTTTTTTATGTATATTTTAGAAGAAATGTGTGGAGTTATTAATAGAGCTGCCATCTGACGTGACTCGGTGAACGTGAGCGCGAGCATCTGAAAACGCCGCTGACCCACATCACATCGCACATCTATGACGTAATGCCGCCGCTGGGGCCGGCACGTGCGCTCCGACACTAGCCAATTTTGCATCCAGGGAGGCCACGTGAGGGAGAGACATCCGGGTTACAAAACGGCGTTTTAACACACAACACCTTTAAAATGAAATCAGGTGACTCACAAGCGGGTTTAACTGTTTTTTTTAATGTGTGTTTTGTTCCTCCGCCGAGCTGCATATAGTTCCTGGGCAGCAGCAGCAGCAGCCCACCTGGTTGCTAGGCGACGGCGTGAGCGGGCGCATTAATATGTAAATTAGCCAAATGTGAAGCGGTCACATTTAAAAGCGGCCAAAACTGACGAAAAAACAAAACTTGTTATTTTTATGACATTTTAAGGACAGGTGAGAGACGTTTACAGCCTTTTATTAATGATATTTCACATTTTTGTTTGATTTTAAAACTACATACATATGTTTTTTAATTATTTGAGGTAGTTAAAAGAGCTCTTAAACGATTTCCGCGCAGCTTCAAACGCGGCTAACGTGGTTCGGTTTTTGCTAACGAAGCTAAAAATACGTTTCATAGCATCAGACGGATTCGTGCTGGCTCCCCTCCCCGCTCCGTGTCTCTGCCATAAGCTGCCCGCTCCCAGCATCTTCTCCTCCTTTCCTTCTTTCCCTGAGTCACTGTCGGACCCCGGCGGACTCCGGAGGCTCCTCGGCGGCTCTGCGGCTCCCGTCAGGCGGAATCAGTCGATGACCCAGGTGGCTCCGAGCCGTGCTGACATGACAGGTGAGGAAGCCGCTGGCTCACGTTTGCACAGCTGTCTCATCCACCGTGGAATTAGGGGCTTAATTAGCTCGCTCACAGGCAAACATGAGGGAACGGATCCACCCTGATCCACTGACGCAACACAAAGCTGAGCTATTACTACTTATTGATAAGACTAAAATACAACAGATTCTCCTTTAAAGAGCCTCTAAGGGCTGTTTGAGTTTCATTTTGTATTTTAAAGATATTTAAAAAAAAATGTCACCACTGAAACAGTAAAGCAGATGTTTGCAATGCATTTTGAAATATACTTTATGTTTGAATGTTTGCATGGATCAGCCACTGCAACCTTTTCAGCATGATTTCCTTCATATAACACCCTTTGCAATGCAGGATTATGTTGCTGCCTCATACCAGAATAGTCAACATTTCATAATGTACACCGTGTTACCAATGTGTAGTAGCCAAAATCCTCCTAATTCATTCAGATGTTTTTTCTTTTTTGGTGCATTTACGTGCCAGATTCCTTGCTGCTTTTTTTGGGGAGGATGTTCCTTAAAGCGGCCACATTCCTGCAGCTTGTTATCAGCTTCATGTCACAGATTTCCACTAAAAAAAAGCTGATTTTTGCATGTGATGTCATTGTGACTGGAATCAAAGCAGATCAAAACATCCATTGCAATGCAGGATTATGTTGATGTCACATACAGCAGCCTAAAATAGATCACGTCTGGTCGCAGCATTTCGTAATATCCACCACACTGCCAATTTGTTGTTGCCAAAATCCTCCTAATTGATGTTCTTTTTTTGGGCTGCTGGACTGTATTGTCTCATTTACATGGTGGTGTTCCTCAAACCGGCCACATTCCTGCAGCTTTTTATCAGCTTCATGGTCGTGTGTGGCTTAAATCAGATCATAAATCGCCTTTAAAACATGATTCAGCTGTTTTTCCGCATGTTATGTCTTTTTAACTGGAGATGAATCAAAGCAGAATCAGCCTGATTTCACACGTGAAGCACCCTTTGCAACGCAGGATTATGTTGCTGGATTTCATATGTAGCCGCCTTATTAAAAAGTAGATCACGTCTGGTCGAGATGTTTTATAAAACAGACTGTACTGCCAAAATGTTGTTGCCAGAATATATGTACAGTCCTGTTCAGTGATTTAGATGTTTTTTTTGGACATCCTGTGCAATATTTTCTCATTTACAAGCCAGTTTCTTGCTATTTTAGGGATGTTCCTTCATATTTTTTAAAAATGTTTTATCATTTTGACTGAAGATGAATTAAAGCAGAACAGAAGCAACACATTTTATCTTGGTTTCACATGTAAAGCACACAGCAGCGTAGAATTATGTTGTTAGACTTCGTATACAGCAGATTAATCCAGAAATAGCTCATGCCTGGTCGAGACATTCATAAAATAGACCTTACTGCCAAAATGTTGTGGCCAAAATCCTCCTAACTGATTCAGATGTTCTTCTTCTATATGCTGTACTACATTTTGTCTTTAAGTGTTCCATTTATTGCTCATTTTTTAGGGATGTTCAATAAACCAGCCACATTCCTTCATTTATACAGCAGCTTGTTATTATTATTACTATTAGCTTAATGGTCAAGTGTCACGTACATGACATGAAAAATCGCCTTTAAAACGTGATACAGCTGTTTTTTGCACGTTATGTCATTCGACTGGAGATGAATCAAATCGGAGCCCACGGGACACTTGCGACTTTGCTCGGATTTGCATGCATTTGCATATCTAATGAGGACCTTTTTTTAGCCGTCTGCTGTTCGTGTGCGCGCAGGCGTTGGTCGATAGTCGTCCTCGGGCTGCTTTCGTGTCAGTGTGACCGATTGAGAAATAAAAACACAGCAGGACGAGGTCTGGAGGTGACGCTCAGGGGTCTTGCACTGACAGCTTGCGCTGACACTTGACCCCAAAGGCGGTACCATGACTGACAAGGAGATTGATTGAATTTGGGTGCCATGTGATTGCTAGCTTTTGGGTCCCTTCCAGGACTCACATTTGCCACTTCAGCTTTATGCTTGTTGTTGTTGTTGTTGTTGTTTTTTTTCTGCTGTATTTGCCTCTGGGCCAACGTAGCATGAATCACGTCTGACTCCTCTCTCTGAAACACAGCGCTGGTTCCTCCTCCTGATCCACTGCTCACCAACAGGCACGCATCTCCTTCTCGATCACCGTCCAATCACAGAAGCCCTCCAGGTAAAATCGCATCACACCCTTTGATGAACCCCCATTATTGTCTTCATAATCCATGGCGTGATAAAGTGGAAAGCATCAAGATGAAACAGACCCAAAGGACATGCTGTGATGCATGCGATTCTGCCTCACTAATAACTGTCATGTTTAGTTGTTCCTGTGTTTTTCCTGGATGCTTTTTTGCCTGCTAAGAGAAAATGTATTTTTTTCTGGTTGAATTGACAAACTTGTGCTGGTCAGATACCAAATTCACACGTAGGCTCAGGATGAAGCGGTGTGATCAAATATGAAAGCTATAGAGCATATGTACGGCCTGCAGGCACCGAAGCTAATCTCTTAATTTTTCCTTCACCTGTCCCAAGGCTCCCGAGCGCATTTAGCAAAAGAGCGACGGGAGGACGCAGAGAAGACCCAAGGTATGAGTAACTCTCCAGCTGGTGGAGCTCTGCATGATCTGTCCTGTTCATCTGTCACTGGCACCGACGCTCACACACTGTGGGTGGGTGGGTGCACACTCGCTTGGAACTGTGTCGATTTCGTTTTCTTTTTGTATTATTGGGCAAGTTGTACATTTAAATCGTTTCAAATTGACGTGGAAACCTTTCAGTTCCAGGTTTAGGGACTGTCATGCTTTCACATCACTTCAAGACGAAAAGAAAGACCAGAAGAAAGACAGCTTTCAAGTCAAGTCAGCTTTGCTTATCTGAGATATGACTATTAAGCCTATGAGCCCCTACAAGGCACGTTGTCTTTAAAATAAATTGGCCAGGAATGGAAAGAATCGTCAGATTTTCATTGAACTAATAGCTGTGTCAAGAAAAATAAGATAAACTCGGATATTGCTCAAAAGAAACCAAAATAATAAAAGATTTATAGTTCTGTAGCAAAAAAGCGAAAGTATATAAGTAAGATCCATAACTGAAAAGAATATAAGTACAAAGTAATGCTGGCAGTGATACTGTGGTCATAAGTAACATTACACATAATAATTAAATATTGGAGAGGAAATTGAAGATGAACTATAGCACTTTACACTGCTAACCAAATAACCAAGTCTACGTTTAAAATGTTATATTTCATCAGTATCACTTTATTCAACATATTTGTTTGACAAATTGTACAAAAATAAAACGCTTGCACCAGATTCTGTATGAAACTATGAATTCTGTTCTCCTTCCTGCTGCAACTGTGAAGAAACGAGGGATTGATCTGAAACCAACAGACTTGCTTCTGGCTAAAAGAAAACAGTTGCATTTAATGAAGAAAAAAAAATATCAGGATTAAAAAGAGCAAATGCTGAAACACAAACAAATAAAAAAGAATACAGGAAGATGATAAAGAGACAAGAAAGACAAAATTTAAAAGGCTGATCTGCGCAGAAGTTGCTCTTTAAAATCCTGACCCTGTGTCATCGGCTGCTTTGAAGACACTTATTGGTGCAGTTTTCTGGTTATATTCATAAATATTGCACACAGAGGTTGATGAGTAAGGGGTTAATTGGTACACGGCAGCTAATTTTTGCCCAGAGGCTCCTGCCAGGAAAAAACAGCCCTGTAGTGAATGAACAAGTGCACCATTTCCCTGGTTGTAAGAAGTCTGCGTCAGAATAGCCCCAGTGTGTGCTAACTTTCCGCCCCTGGCATGGCCGTGTGCTGCAGAGCTGTCGGAGGTGCTGCGGGATAAGGAGCGCCGCGCGCAGCAGCAGCTGGAGCGTTGCGCCGAGCAGCGAGGCAGGAAGATGGAGGAGCAGCGGAGGAAGGAGCAGCATCGCAGGGCGGCGGCCGAGGAGAAGAGGCGACATCAGCAGGAGGCGGACAAGGTCAGAGGTCACAGCACACTAATGACGCGTTCAGAAACCATTAGAGGAGGCGAGAAGGCAGGATGACAGCCAGCCGCCGTACACTCTGGCACGAATCTGTAAATTGACATGTAGAGCTTAAGATGGGAAATAATGATAAAAATGCCGTCAGGTGGGTTTTCCTGCTCAGAATGGGCTGTTTGGTTGTTACTATGCACATTAGTATGATTGGTCCAGTGAAGGCAATGAGTGTGTGTCACCTTATCTGACAAAAATCTGCATTTTGCTCTCATTTTCGTCCATTTGATGAACTTAAATATCTATCATTATTGAGTAAATGAACCCCAATTAACATAACTGGTTAAAAATATCTGTAGCTTTTGGGAAATGTTCTTTTGAGGTGTCAAATATTCCTTTATGCAGGACAAATGCTTGTCAAGACAGACTAAAATCATATGTTTACAATTGTTTTTAAATATTTAAGCTTTGAAATCCATTTTTAAAAATTTGTAATGATACCACACTGTCAGTTTTCTGTAGTTCGACATGAACATAGATAGCTGCGTGTGAACTTATCCAAACTAAAATGCATAAAATTATCCAAATTATTATTTAAATCAGAAAACATCTGATCCACCATTTACCATTCATATTAAACTTTATTTGTTAAAGCATACAAATCCAATTAGAACAACGTGTTGACATTTTAATATAAAAGTTTGTGTATGAAGTCAATTACATGACAGTGAATGTAATGTAGGAGGATGGCAGGTGCTTAAAAACACATCAGAATATTATAACAGTGTTCAGCTGTTGGCCTGCTGTGTGTTCAGATAAATTATAAATAAGTTACCATGTGAAATATTCAGACAGATGTTCTGTGCACTGAACTGTGTTGTTAGTTTTCAAATATTGTTGGAAATAATTAAATTAAACAGCATCATTTTCTGAAACAATCACGTAATGCGATCAAACCAGCAGTTCAGCTGAAGGTCGGTACGATGGCAGTGAATCATCGCCCATCCCGAGCCTTCAGCTTTTTAATTAGATTAGATACGACCCGTGTTCTCCTCCACACGTGTGACGGAGAAGCGACATCACAGGATAGTACTGGAAAGACAGACTTGTGTGATGAAAAGCATTGTTTCCCTCCATCGATCACTCCTTCTGTTTCCCCTTTTTCCTCTCGTCTGAGCTCTCTGCTCTCCACCAGCGAGTTAATTGTGTCGATCCATAACCGAGTCGGTGTGTTGCCAGCTGGTGTTGGGCTGCAGCAGAGTTTAAGGAAGTAATTAATGCAGAGCCTCTAATGACTTTCTGTCAGCTGACCAATTGTGCGCATTCATCCAGAACATGAAAAGTTTGGCCGGTTGTCTGCACCCGGTTTAAAGCCGCATCACTGTTGTCCTGGATGTGGCCTATGTTCAGCTGGGGGCTGTCAAACTCCTGCACAGGTGATCAATGGGCAAAATATAAATTATTATGGGATGCCATTTGATCTATCGTAGGATACCATCGAGTAAACTCCTGGGTTACGAGAACTAAAGTTATCTTTACATAGTTGTAGATAAGCTGTGCCTCTGTGACTGTGGGAGGGAAACGTGCACCAAAAGCTTCGTTACCCTACTTCTGCTGACCTTTACATGTGCAGCCAATCTGTTGACTGCTGCATGAACTTAAAGATGCACGAAAAACAAATGCCTTGTGCTTGTATACAACAACTATGCAACAGCAAATTGGCCTCACAAAACCAGACCAGACAAAGAAAAGATGCTGAACAACATACCGTAGCTTAGGTGTTGCTGTTTAGTTCCACAGCGGTGAATGCTGCGTGGAGCACAAGACAGTTCTGTTGTGATGCTCACTGTGGATCCTGCATGTGGAGACGCTTCTTGCAGCTGATTTAAATCTAAACTCTGAACATAACCTGCTCCAGACCAGGTTAGCTCCACAGTATCAGTTACCATGGAGATCTAGGTCTGCAGCGTCAGTTACCATGGAGATCTAGCTCC